ACAGCTTGTCTAAGGTCTAAGAGTTCAAAAGTACAAGGAATATTCTAGAGGAGTTAGTTAAGACTTTGCTCCATGCCTTTGATTATATGGCTTGCATTTCTACTAGTACCAGCCAAATGACTGACATTTCCAAAAAGTTTTGATCAATTCCTATTGAAAAACATTTTTCTTTCCTTGAGTTAAAAAAATAAGTATTTGCCTCCATTTTGAGCTGATGAAGAAGTTACAATTAGAAGGTGTATAATTATAGTATTTTACAATTATCAGTGGCTTCACTGATAGCAACTCTTGATATTTGTTTCCATCTTTATAGCTGTAATCACTGATACCTGCATTATCTCCTGTGAGTCTTTATTTTCCCCAAAAGGAAACAAATTAAAGGAGGACCCAGAGCCTAAAATAAGAAAGACATGCTAACAGAAGGGCAAACATTCTGACCTGCTAAGAATAGGATGAGGGAGAGAGATAATGGTAATATAAGTAAATGTTCTAATCTGCTAAATTGCATGCCTCATATGACTCAAAACTCATATAAAAAATAAAATAGGTAAAGTTAACTACTGTCATCAATTACAGATAAGCAAATTCTCATTTTTTCTAAAGAACTGATATGACCCTATTACTGGCCCATATTTTATTGACAGTAGAGAAAAGTACATAGGAAAGTTTACAACAATTTCTAAATATATAGGGCTTTTTTTTTTTTTTACTTTTTAAAATGTAATAAGATTACAATTTAAATTAGGTGTTTCAAAAAAATGCCATAGAATTTCTCAGATTATATGAGTGAGCAGACATACAGAAGCTTAATTTCTAATTTTAAATATGACTTCTGACCAGTAAAATTATGCTAAATTCAGAAAGAAAGGGCTTTCTTAATGACCCTCAAAGATGATTTCCTTTGTTCTTGACTTTAACCCCATTTGACCAACTGCTCAGATTTTTCAGTAAGTCATATTGTATTGATTAATTTATTCCACCTATTTACAGAGGGAAAAATACAAATTAGCCTGATGAGCAGCAAAATAGAGACAGGTTTTTAAGAAACCTAAATTGTGTTAATCTGCAATCAAATGTAATCTTCATTTTAATATTTATACATCTTTATGTTGTTATGAGCCTATGCTTAATGTGGATTTTATTTATTTGTTTCTCTCTTCCCTCACTTCTGTGAAATGCAGAAAGGAAAGGGTGTTTGTTATCCATACATTTATACCCCACTAACTGCTATTACACATCTGGCTTCCACTGGAGAGCCCCTGACATCGCAGGGAACGGTGATCAAAATTCCACACACTAGCTTCATGCTGGGGGCTCGTAGCTACTGCAGCATTGAATAGGGCCTTTTCCTGGCTTTTTTAAAATAAGCATGGAGATGGGATGGTTTAAGGGAAGAACACCTCTCAAGTCACATGACCACTGCTGCGCTTCTGTGTGTCCTGCTTTCTTCATAACAGCTTGGCACTACATTCTTTCCCTGTATCTTAGTGGGCTTGTGTGTGTATGAGTGGGATTGGGGGGTGGGGTGGGGCATTGTCAATAGATGGTTATACATCATGCATGCAATGTTAGTGATGTGCCTTCCCTTATGTGTCACAGATTATGGTCACAGATTAAAACTTCTGTGTTCCTGAGAGACTGGGCCCTCTCTCTCTTATTGGTGTGAGATTCTTGTGTTTTGATGTTTACACCCTCAATTGTTCATCATGTTGCATTAAACATAATTTGAAATGTTCTATAAGAGTTAGCTTTTCATGTTGGGCTGAAAAAGTCTTCATTTTTGTGTAGCAATTCATGTTATTATAACCTATGGCTTTCAATTGTACCTCCCATAATGAAGAGCTGACTTTAAACACTGTGCTATTCTTGTTATGACCTAAGCATAAGGTAAGTCACTTCTCTAACTGTATCTAAAGACTGTGGTTGTTTGTTAAATTTTTCTAAGTTTTGTTTAAAGCATTTTCACTTTTCCCCTTACCATTTATTGTGTGCTCTCCCCCCCTTTTGTTTTCTGTTTCATGGCTTTAAGATTTGTTAATGGGCAATGTGATCTTCAGCAAAATTATAGTACACATGTTGAAATTAATTAAATGATTTATTTGATGTCTGAAAGCAGTCTTGATTAGTAAATGAATACCTATATTTTCAGTGAGTCTCTTATACATTCATTTCCTCCATTGACTTTAATATAATATACTGTTTCTACACCATTATTGTAGTTTTGACTCCAGTTGAAAGGGAACTTCTTTGTCAACACAATAGAGTCAAATGTTAATTCAGTAGAATAAAATAATAGATAATCCAATACCATACTTTTCATTTTTAATCCCTGACAAATTGGTATTAGGGCAAAATATTGATTTTATTTAGTTTTTCAAACTTTAATTTTCTCCGTTGAATAAAAATCCAGAGTAAGATTAAAAAAAAAAAAAAAAAAACTACAACAATAAATCATAAAACTTGAGACAGACCTGAGCTACCTTCTTTAGAGTTCATATATGTGAGAATAAGAACAATAGTTGTTTCTCAACTTTATTCTTTCAAGTAAATACCATTTCATTGTGAGTTAAGTAAAATCTTTATATTGGAATTTTATAAAATAAAGATGACGAGTTTAATGGTACAAGAGAGAGGGGCATCTGCTACATATATAAATATTGTTACATTTTAAAAATTATTTTCTCAATGTTTTTACATACATGTTTATGTAATTGTTGATTTTAAAAGTGATCTCCTTCAAGTCTGGGTTAAATAGCCAATGTAACGCAAATGAGAAAACGTTGCTAATACTGCTGTTGGCAATTTGTGAACCTAAATAAATAACTCAGACTCACGGAATTGAATTGTTTTCATCATCCAAATTTCTCTCCCAAAACTATTTTTGGGGGGAAAAAAATAAGTCCTAAAAAGAGGTGCTACAAAGCAAGATAGGGTTCTTTATTAAATTTATTCTATAAATGAACTTTTTTAATTTTTTAGGCCACCTATGGAAGGGACACCGTGTTCTTTTATTGTTGTTTCAGTTTAGGTTTGTTTTTTGTTTGGTTTTATTTTTTATTTGGTTTTGGTAAAGCCGGATAGTTCTTCACCACCATTTTCATTTAGACATTATATAAACCTGTTGAAACATTTGATGAGATTTGAACTACTCCTCTGAACTGCTCTGTTCATTATAAATCTCTTGTTTCTATCCATACACTAGCTCCACTCTAGATTGGAAGGGCTTAAAGATGAACTCTGGAGGAATAGAGGCTACGACTTAAGAGTAACTATTACTGATCAAAGGAGCTGCTTTCCATTCGCAAACATTGCTTTGCGCTATGGGTTTGGGCTCCTTCTGTTTCTACATCTTGTTGAAGACTTTCTTGACTTCCATTTGACTTCTTTGAACTCTGTTTTTGTCTTTCAACATTTTCCCCTTTCCTTTTCTTCTCTCTTTAGCTTTCTCTTATGTTCTTTAAATCACTTTTTAAAATGTAGTTTATCTCTTTATTGAACTTGTCTATTAATTTTTCTATTAGTGTTTGTTTATTTTCTCCTTTAAGGCTGTAGTGATATAGTTACACTTATTTTCATTCCATAGTATGCCAACTTGCTTGTTTATCTTGCAGCAAGTTCATTAGTCATTCTTACCCTCTTGGTATGAATTTTTAATAAGAAATAGCACAACATTCTGCATTAACATATTGTCCCCTTCTGTAAACCCATACTTTCTTTTCTATCTGCTAGAGTTACCACCTCAAACCCATCTCTTCTTTTCTTTTTTTTTTCTTTACTTTTTCTCGTTCTTGTGTTTTCCTCCCTGTATTGTTTTCTTTAAGTAGTCATTGATTTCTTTCCCATTTGGTCCAGAATTGTTTGCCAATAAAACTTATGAGTAAAATAATATAAGAATGTTATTTTCTAGATTAGCTTCTTAATTCTAGTATATTTAAATCTAATTAAACAATCTGGGCCAAAAGAGAATAACTTTAACATCTGGAATTATTTTCCCTTTTTTTTTTCCTTCTTTTTTTTTTTTTTTTTGGGGGGGGGTGTGTGTGTGTTTATCTTGTGTGTATGTGATTTTTTTTATGTTGTTGTTTCTTTAAACATTAACAAATGTTTTTTCCAGGGAAGGACTACCATAATCCACCCTAAGTTGCAACATTCCTTTCATAAATTGTTTCATTACAATAGTAGATTGTGTTAAGCTATAGAAATTAATTTGTTGTGTATATATCCATTTGGGGCAAGCTGCTGTGGAATGGGAGGAAGAGGTGTGGAGTTTAAATCAATTCACTCTGAAATTAACAAGTGGTAGTGCCATTCAGCATGGCCTTTGAATTCAATAGTTTCCAGCATTTAAAATAATGTTCCACTTTGAACTAAAATATTTGAATCAAAACATAAACACTTTTTATTGAAAAGTTATATATCCACCTAAGCACTGGTAAATAAATGTATTCAAAATCATTCAATTCAAACAAACTCATCTTTTATAACCAATATTAATAAATACAATAAATAACAAAAGTTATTAGAATCACACATAAATATTGTATCTGAGGATTTCCCCCTTGTTAACATGTAACAAAAATTACAATGGAATATTTGATTGCAACTTTAATTCTTGAATTGCACTATTCTAGTCATTAGATAAATAAAATGCCTTTAAGATTAAGGGTCTTTATTCACAACTAAATATGTGATAACTTGGATTTTTTCATATGCTAATTTCAAATACACATAAATAAATAAATTGCCTTTGGTTTTACACCTCGGTCACATTTATAATATTGTACTCCAATTTTTTTCTGGAAATCAATCAGTTACTTAAGGTAATGAAAGGATTATAATATATATAACAACTGTAGCATTTTTTTAATATCATGTTCTGATACCTGAGATATATAGAACCCTTGCTCCTAGACCTCAGGAGTTTGCCCAATAAGTATACATACATATCTGGCTATCTATGTTAGAAGCCTTAAATTACTGAGTTTATGCTTTCTTTACAGGTCCAGTCCAGGTGCAGCAGCAAGGAGAACATTCTCAGAGCCAGTAAGTATGTCCTTATTTCAGATGGACTAGTGAATTAGAGCTTGTGATTCAATAGGAATGAAAGCTAAAAAATGACATTTTGATGAAAGAATGAAGAAGGTAACAGGTAACTTTTATATCAAAATATGAATATTAGGGCTTTTATCTTCTAAGATTATTAGTATCAATATAGTAATGGATATTTTCTTTATTCTACTTGTTTTTGCAGGCTAACAGCACATCTTTGATAACACTCCTACTTAGAGTGATAATGAGTGCCTCTATGATTCTAAGATGGGAGCCTTCTTTAATTGTCTCACTGCCAAAAAAAAAAGTTACATAAAAACAGACTAACTGAAAATAATAATATAAATTCATTAAAATAATCTAGCTAAAAAAAAGGAGGGGGGGGTATTCCTAAAAGGATACATCATAATCATTTTGTGTATGTGCATTCTTGATCTTACTTCACAAGCAGCATGTTTTAAAAATAGTGCCCTGAACCATGGATAAAGAAACTTTTTTTTATATGATTGCTAATGAAAGTCATATAACTCTTATAAAAAGGAACTATTTTTTTATTTCATAAAAAGAAACTATAAATAACCTGCATCCTTGAAATGATGTGATGTTGAAGGTTTTGCCTTAAAAGATTTGGGCTCCTAAGAGAAAAGTGCTGTATAAATGCTAATTACTTTAATATTATTTTCTTTCACTTAATATTAATGATTTCATCCTTTCTTATTCCTCTTCTTTATCAAAAGAAGAAGAGCAGGTGGCTCATACTGAAATGGGTCTATTGGATAATTATACCACTAGGAATTTTAGTAAATGGGATTATTTATATTTCCAGTAGAATGTGTATATTATTTAACATTAAAAAAATAGCAGAATTTCAGATAGATAAAAATTTGTTTTATTTTCTTTAATGTAAATTTTTTCTATATCTGTATTATGAATCTGTTATCTTTGCTTGAAACCATTGAATTGATAGGCAAGCATATTGCAATTATTTGCTCAGGGCATGTATGTTAGAGTTATATAAAAATAAATGCAAACAACCATGTTTAATTTCTATACTTTTGCAAGTTTCTACAGCATTTTCAAAGACATGAGAAAGGCTTTTCAATTATGAGATCTAAAGTCTTGTAGTCCTATACTAACACCTAAGGTTAAATAACCTAAGAATCAGGTGAATGATAATTGAATATTCACTAAAATAAAATAATAGGTATAAATTAAATTTTAAAATTATATTTTATGATGATTATTGTATAATTTTCATTTTTGTTGATCTGGAGATGATAATGATTATGGTGATTAGGAACAAAAATAATTTCTTATGGAAAACAGACTTCTTTGAACCCTTTTTCACTTCTCATCGACCTTTGTGTTGCTGGGACTGTCTTTCATTTCAATTATGTTCTTACTGGCTTGTTGGCTTGTAATTACTTTGGCTGGACATCATGATGGTCCAGGTTTTTCTTATCATGGTTTTCAGGGTGAAGTTGTCATACAGACGTTTCATATAGTCATTTAGATCCATGTAAAGAGCCCATCTAACATCATAGTTTAATAATTCTGTGACTTCTGTAAGTTTAAATTCTTCCTTCTCAACACCACTTTAGTAACTCATAATCCCTAAACGGGCAGTCAGACATTCCTCACACAATCCAGGACTGATGGCTCCCAACTGCTTGCCTGCCTGCCTTCCTGATTGCCCTTAACTGCTTCCCTAACCACTTCTGCCTGCCAGCCTGATCACCCCCTAACCACTCCCCTGCCAGCCTGATTGATGTCTAACTGCTCCCCTACCAGCCTGTTTGCCCCCAACTTCCCTCCTCTGCTGGCCTGGTCACCCCTAACTGCCCTCCTCTGCAGCCTTGATCACCCCCAACTGTCATTCGTTTCATTATGTTCTTACTGGCTTGTTGGCTCATAATTACTTTGGCTGGACATCATGATGGTCCAGGCTTTTCTTATCATGGATTTCAGGGTGAATTTGTCTTCATGGTTTTCAGGGTGAAGTTTTTCTTATCATGGTCTTCAGGGTGAAAAGACAAAAGTACTATTCCTCCCTTGCAGGCCTGGTCCTTCCCAACTATCCTTCCCTGAAGGTCATCTTGTGGCAGCCATCTTGTGTCCACATGGGGTCAGCCACCTTGAGTATTAAAGTGATGGTCCATTTGCATATTATATAGGATAGACCCTATTAGCATTTCATTATATATATCTTTTATTATATAGGATAGACCCTATTAGCATTTCACCATTCTCTCAATGCTATGTCCTGTATTAGAGGCAGGACCTTTCTCCCACTGCATAATATATTCATTCCCCTTACTTTCCTAGAAAATTCTATCTGTTGAGATTCAGTTCAAGTGTGGTATCATCCTTGAAGCCTTCTCTGAATTTCCAGCAGACATCATGATAGATCCTTTTTATATGTCCCTATTATTCCTTCTACTTTCATCATTTTTCATTTATTTACTATTATTTCCTTGAGGATACTCAAGGATAACATTCCCAAAATGTAGACAACTTTTTTTTTTAAAACTATACAGCCATGCCTAGTTTTATTACAGTTCACTTTAACTCACAGAGAGACTTGCTCAATGCAGGGTTATTATAAACCTCATATATATAGTTTATAATAACCCTGCATTGAGCAAGTCTCTCTGTGCCATTTTTTCTTATTTTGCTTACTTCATGTTTTTGTATCACATTTTGGTAATTCTTGCAATATTTTAAACTTCTTAATTATTATTTGTTATAGTTATCTGTGAACAGTGTCTTTGATGTTACTATTGCAATTATGTTGGGGTTTCACAAACCATATCCATATAAGATGGCAAAATTAATAAATGTGTGTACTGACTGCTCCAGAAACAGCGATTCCCTCTTCTCTCACCCTCTCCTCGGGCCTCCCCATTCCTTGAGATAACAACAATATTGAAATTAGGCCAACATATCTTCTAAATGTTCAAGTGAAAATAAGATCCCCATGTCTCTGACTTTAAATTAAATGCTAGAAATCATTTAGCTTACGAGGAAGGCATGTTGAAAGCTGAGATAGGCTAAGCTTATTAAACAAATAGCAAAGTTGTAACAAGTTGTAAATGCAAAGGAAAAGTTCTTTGAGGAAATTAAAAGTACTATTCCAATGAAGACATGAATGGTAAGAAAGAAAAACAGCCTTATTGCTGATTGGAGAAAGTTTTAGTGATCTGGGTAGATTATAAACCAGCCACATATTCTTAAGCCAAAGCCTAATCCAGAACAATTCTATGGAGGCTAAGAGAGGTAAGAAAGCTGCCGAAGAAAAGTTTTATAATAGAGGTTAGTTCATGAGGATAAAGGAAAGTAGCCATTTCCATAACATAAAAGTACAAAGTGAAGCAGCAAGTACTCAATGTGGAAGCTGCATCAAGTTAGATGACCTAGCTAAGATAATGAATGAAGGTGGATACACTAAACAACAGATTTTCTATGTTAAAAAACTTTCTATTTGAAAAAAAAACTTTCTATTTCATAGCTAGAAAGGATAAGTCAATGCTTTGATTCAAAGCTCCAAAGGACAGGCTGACTCTCTTGTTAGTGACTAATGTAGCTGGCGACTTAAAGTCAATGTTACCATTCATAATTAAGAATTTTGTTAAATCTACTCTGCTTGCCTAAACCGGTTTGGCTCAGTGGTAAAGCATCAGTCTGCAGACTGAAAGGTCCCAGGTGCGATTCCGGTCAAGGGCATGTATCTTGGTTGCGGGCACATCCCCAGTAGGGGGATATGCAAGAGGCAGCTGGTCAATGTTTCTCTCTCATCGACGTTTCTAGCTCTCTATCTCTCTCCCTTCCTCTGTGTAAAAAAATCAATAAAATATATATTTTTTTTTAAAATTAAAAAAAAATCTACTCTGCTTGTGTTCTATAAATGGAACAATAAAGCCTGGATGACAGCACATCTGTTTATAAGATGATTTACTGAATATTTTAAGTTTTTTGTTAATACCTACTACTCAGGGGGGAAAAAAGATTCCTTTTAAATTATCATCAGTCATTTACAAGACCCCTGGTCATACAAGAGCTCTGAAGGAGATTAACATGGTTTTCATACCTGCTGACACAACATTCATTTTGAAGCCCAAGGATCAAGGAGTAATTTTACTTGAAATCTTATTATTTAATAAATACATTTCATAAGGCTATATCTATCATAGATAGTGATTCATCTGAAAGATCTGAGCAAAGTAAATTGAAAAACTTCTGGAAAGGATTTGCCATTCTAGTTGCTATTAAGATCATTTGTGATTCATGATAAAGGTCAGAATATCAGCAATTTGGAAGAAGTTGATTCCAACCTTCATGAATGACAACTGCAGATGTGTGGAACTAGCAAGAGATCTTGAATTACAAGTGGAGCCTAAAGAGGAAGCTGAATAGCTGCAATCTGATAATAAACTTGAACAGATGAAGAATTACTCTTAATGAATGAGCAAAGAAAGTGGATTCTTGGGTTGGAATATACTCCTGATGGAATATGCCGCTTTGTAGATTGTTGAAATGACAACTAAGGATTTAGAATATTACAAAAACTAACTTAAAAAAGCAGTGGCAGGATTTAAGAAAGGGTTTCATATTTTGAAAGCAGTTCTGTGGGCAAAATGCTATCAATCAGCATATCATGCTACTGAGAAATTGTGAAAGAAAGAGTCAATAAATATGGTAAATTTAATTTTATTATTTTAAGAAATTGCCACAGCCACTCCAATCTCCCCCAACCACCACCCTGATCAGTCAGCAACCATCAACATCATTTCTATTCTGTTGATCTATGTCTATCTTTATGCCAGTTTTACATTGTTTTGATTACTGTAACTTTAAAGTTAGGAAGTGAGAGTCTTCCAACATTGTTCTTTTTCTATATTGCTTTCCATTTCATCTGAATTTGAGGATGGCTTTTCTATTTCTTAGAAGAAGAAAAAAAGCCTTTAGAATTTTGATAGGTATTGCAGTAAAACCAT